AAAAAATTACCAATATATAAGTTGAAAAACTATTTAATTACAAATTTTTTAATCAGCAGTGAATCAGTTATAGTGTAAATAAGTAAGTGTGATTTTTGAAGCAAGATTTAAAAGCCTTATCGAATTCAAAGACTTGCTTGTACTTACAGTGTAACATAAAATCGCAAGCATCAGCCGTCCATCTGTGCGTCCATTACTCCACACCACAGGTTTGACCAAAAAGAAATAAGAAAAAAAGTATAGTATCAAAGAATGCAATATCCCCAAAGCAACCCACTTTCCAAAGCCCTAAAATAGAACAATTATCGTGGAATCTGCGCCAAATATGTGAAAATACCAGATAATAAGTACGTGAAAAACTGATGGAAAATATGTTTTTCGCGACTAATAATTTTGCGTGATTATAAGAACTATGTCAAAAAATAGAAAAGCTTTTGTTAATCGTTCAACATTTACCTGCTTAGTTATTTTATTGATTTTCTTAGAATAATTACATAGCAATTGAGAACAGCATATGATAGTTTTAAAAGATCTGTTAAAAAGTAAAACGCTAAAAAAATCAGATTTATGACTGCTCACTGTGTTTGTAAACGATGACTGTTGCAAGCTGGAATACCAAGCTGCATTTTCAAGCAACTTTTTTTCAGGCACACTTTTGTCAAAAAGGCCAATGGCGACAGGCGGCAAAGTAGTCAGAATGTTAAAAATAGTAATAGTCCAAGGTTCAAAAATGGTTTGGCCAGAAAATGCAGAAAAGAAACTGAACCAAAATCCAATTAGATAAAAGCAAACGTTCTTGTAAAGACAGTAGAGTACAGCCTTAAAAATTACAAATTAAACTGTAGAAGAACAGTTGTTAAAATCAATAGAAAGAAAGCTTGGTAAAATTAAGTCTGCGATTAGTGTATTTTAGTAAAATAATAAGTTAATTTCACCGTTCTGAGTAAAAATGATATGTTATATGAGAGTAAAATGTAGGGTACGCTGTACAAACATAAGCTTTTGCGCCTTTTTGTCGCTTACTATTTCGCATCTAACGATCAGCACGGTCAACAAACCATAGAGAAGGG